GGGTGTTTGCGGGTGTTTGTGTTCATAACTCCTCGAGTTGTGGGTGTTTGTAGCAGTGATCGACATGCGATCTCGAAAAGTTGGCTGTTTGTGCTGTTAGCATAAATTAGTAATACCCCTATGACAGCGAGTAGTGTAGAAATCGTTAACTCGATTCGAGTATTAAAACTTCCTTCGAATTCTAAATCTTCTACTTTAGAATTCGACTACTGCAGTATTCACTATTCAACTTATAAACTTATAAATCTAAAATTCGAAGTTTCGAGTTTTCCGCTTAGCAACCCGTAAGTGATTGATCGTAAATCCTGGAGTGACTCATCCTTAACTATTATGTAACTGTTGATTAAATATTAACCAACCGATTACTTATTATCAATCAACGGGCTATCAAGAAATCGGTATCTCACTATTAAATGGTACTTAATCATTCATTCACTATATGACTATGAATTATCAGCCAACTGATCGTAACGAATCCCGTTCATATTGACCCTGAGTATGCCGTTGCGAGCTGCACCCTCCCTAGCACCCTCACCCTCATGCTAATCAGTTAGTTAATAATTGATAGATAGTTAGTCATTTAATAATTAGCCTTTAGTTAGTGTATATTTAATAGCCAATTAGTTAAGAGTTTAAAACTCGAATTGAAAGTTTAATACTCGAATAGTCTCTTCGACTTTTGCATGTATGAAGGTGCTGTAAAACAGAAACGGAAGTTTCCTCAAAAAGTTATGGATTGGCTGGGAGTTTGTTCCAAGGGGGTTTCGCCTTTGATTATTTTCGAAGATGGTTGGGTAGATCATGCAAGATATATTCGAGAGGTGCTTCCCATTGCACTCGAATATGGTGATCAAGTCTTCGGAGACCAACGGACTTTCCAACAAGATGGTACAAAACCTCACATTCATCATTTAACGCAACAGTGGCGTCGAGACAACTTTCCAGTATTCATTGACAAAGATCATTGGCCTCCTAAAAGTCCTGATTTCAATCCTTTGGATTATTCAATATTGGACGAGTTTGCTCCCGTTATCTATTGTGATAAAGTGAAATGTAAAAAAACTCTAATTGAAGAACCAAAACGATCTGTTAAAAAAATTCGACCGGAAGTTGTATTTGAAAGTTGTACATCTTGGACCAAATGATTGTATCGCTTGTCAAAAAAGAACGGTTTTTATTTACGTTAATAAAGAACCCTGTCTTTGTAGAGCATCTAAAGACGAATCTTTTTAGAAAAAATACAGGTCTACACATTGAAATTTGCAAAAGATATTTCAACAATACTGAGAGTAGCATTTATTCTGGGGCACCCGTTACAAAAACCATGCGTAATCTAAAAAACGAGCCATTTCAGAAACCTACTACCAGATAAACGGTTTTGTAGTATATGTGATGATTATAAACCGTTCCAAGCTTTATGCAAAGCTGTGAAAAAGACAAGGCTTCTGTATTATACTGTTCTTTTTACAGTGTTTGTTGATGCGTAAAATAATTTTCAGAAAGGAAGTGAATAGTTCCTTTAACCCTTTGGGGACGGGTGTGGTATATATACCACATGAAGTATTTCTCAGCATTTGAGGAAGATATACGTTTCGAATCAATCAACAGTGAGTAGGAATAGTCTGTTAAGTACTTTTATT